CACATCTTTACAACTAGGACTCGCTGTACCACATACACAGGATCGAATCACTCTCATTCCCTTCGTATTCCAGTGGTAATAAAGAAGTTCCACTCAGATTCTACCTGAGAACTGTTACTTTGTGAAATAGAGTTCCGAGAGGATGCTTCTCTGATCGCTACAATCTTAACCTTTTCAAGTCTAGAGTCAACTGTTATCTATCCTCATAATCTGCACTTCCTCCTCTTACGTTCATACAACAACGTCACTGAGTAACACTCTACTTTGAGTGGCTCTTGGACCTTGTATTGGGTGAATATTTCATAAAATAAATTTTTCGTAGAGCTTATTCTTAATCGCAATATTGCAAATTCAAATCTGGTACCAAATTTCAGGCAACAGTTAAATTCATAGACGGCAGATTTCTATTATATTCATGACCATACGCATACATATAGATACATAACTTCTTCTATAACCACTACTGTAATAACATGGATTGACTCTCTACCGCACATATAGAGACTATAAGAAAATATATACTTATTAATAATAATTTACATACCGGCACCACTTATTCTTTTATGTGCCGTGTCCCTTCAAGACGTAGGCGATCATCTTATTCCTTGTAGCTCTTAATAAGTTTTATTTTTCTCCCAAATCTGTTCTACCACTCATTTACTCAAGCCCATCAAGTATGTTACACGCTGCGATCCTCTGTACCTCTTTCCCTCAATCCGTCCCGTGTGTATCAGACTTTCCAAGCCCTCCTTCCTCGTTATGTGCCTCATAAATTTCAGCAACTTCTTCCTGATGTTAATAAGTTTTCATCTTGTTTCCATTTTCTCCAAAACCTCGTCGTTGCTCATATGTTCGGTACATGGTAATATCAACATCTTTCTGTAGAACCACATTTCTGTTGCTTCAAGACTCTTCTTCATCTTTGAGGCGATTGTTCAGCATTCACTGCCATATAGTTGGACAGATATCACGTAACAGTACAGTACTCTTTTCTTTGTTTCTGATGAATTTTTCCTGTCTCTTAATACTCTGCTTAGCTTTTGGAATGCATATTTGACCAGCCCAGTACATCTTCGGATCTCAGTGTCGCACTTTCAGTCTTCTGTTAGAACACTTCCTAGATATTTAAATATTTATACTTGGTGGATTTTAGTATCTCCGATTTGTAATTTGCATTTTAGGATCATGTTTTTTGCTAATAAACATGCATTCTGTCTTCTTGTAGTTTATATTTAGTTGTTTCTTCTAGATTTCCTTCACTACCTTCTGTAGGAGCTTTTATATTTTCCTTTCCTTGTCATCTGCATATCTTATGTTGTTAAGATTGTAGCCACCAATAATGAATCCTGGTAGTACTTTTAATTCTCTCAGTGTAGGTTGAATAAATCCGGTGAGAAGACACTGTGACACTATTTAGCAATGGTAATTGGCTAACTAGTTAACCATATAAATTAAAACAGAAAATAGACATTCTTAAAGCGGAAAAAAGAGCTATAACGAAAGATAAACTGATCGACGTTAAAAGAGAGATTTTAATTTGTTTACAAAAAAAACCTGCGGAGAAAGCCGTGTGTGAGGTCCTGTCGAGTTGATTTATGTATCGCCGAGGGAGATAGAAAGAAAGGCAAATACGGAATTATCGGCCAAAACAAGTGCCGATAGAAGCAGGGAGAATCAATGTTAATTATCTTTCCAAGATATCGTTATTTTTTTTTCTTGGACACAGGCGAAGAGAAGCAATGTGGCAATTATAAAATTTTGACCTTGTCTCGATATAGGTGAGAGGATTGTTATCATTTACTTTGCCAAAAGATGCTAAGACGTCGAATGGCAATGTGACAATTGTAAAATTTTGGCAATCCCCAGAAAATAGTGGAGAATTGAGATTTGACGAGATAAAAGGAATTTAATTTCTTAACAAGTCGAGGATTCCATGATAAGGCTAACTTGACGTAAAGAACCAGATGGCAAACTTTGACAGTGATTAATGAGACGGTAAGAGTGCTGGATAAGTGACTTTTGAGTGGCCCAGGAAAAAGAGAACATGTGATAAAAAAATTTAATTGGCAAGGAGAATTTTGTAAACAAAAATTCTAGATTATAGTTTTAAGGAGGCCAGCTTAGCCACACCCGCACTGCCGAGAGATCATTGGTCGTATGGTAGCATGGTGATAGGCGAAGGTGAATGGATGAGAAAGACGAAGATGTTAACGCCCCCTGAAGGGATTGGTATGAGATATCAATGTGAGAGAGAAAGAGTCTACTAGGATAGATCTCCTCCGATCTTCCCTCACGAACGACGGAGAACCCCCCACCCCGAAATGGGAAGTGGTTAATTTTCCAAAAATGGGAAATAATCAATTTTACTGTCCTGACAACAAAGAGATTTCTTGTTAGAAATAGAGATTACCGAGAACCCCCAGGCCACGTCGGGCCCACACACCGGGTTTTGGTCGGTACCCATATAAACGATCGTCGATGGGTCGTTCAGTTAGTAGCAGTTGGAGTTGAGTATATTTCGAGCTGGAGACACAGTTGAGCTGGTTTTGAACCAGGGTCTTGCCTGACAGAAGCTGACCGAGAGATTCCATGGCCTCCCTTCGCCGATGCTACCAACAGCAAATTATATTGACGAACGAAGTTAAGCCAGCACTTAAAAACTAAATTAGTTGACTTAAGATATCAACTTGCTTGAAACATAGAAGTGTCACATTTCGTAGGAAACGGACGGGGAGAAAAACACGCTTCTGTATATAACAGAAGGATAAAGTTAAACTGTTATTTCTTAACATACTTGAACCTCTTGGGTTTTTCTTTCATTTATTTTTTTTCTTTGCGTTTGTGCAATGTCACCTTCAATTTGGACTCAGCTGACGGCGCCTGATTGATCTCGTCTACCTAAGATCAAAGTCACAACGTGGGTAGGTTAGACTTGAGATCGAAGCAGTTACTCCAGTAACCAGGCGTTGCAAGTGACCTTGGAACGATAGAGTTGGCATTGAACCGGTACAATTGGTAACGCCGTTAACATCGACGACCAGAACTCGACCCTGGTGCCACATATTGGTGCCGTAACCACTGGATTTGACACTGGACGGCTGAGTGTCACATATTGGTATCCTGACCAGGGGATTTCGCCGAGTAGCGACGACCACCGAACGACCGGGACACAGGCTTGTGGCAGCGACAAAGAATCAACCCAAAAACGCCGGTAGTCAACTGGGAGTTGACCACGGGCCGACTGGGAGTTGACCACGGGCCGACGGCTTGGTGTCACAACACATCTTTGTCTTACACCCCTTTTTTTATTTTTGTGTATCTGCTGAACTCATTTTCTATTCGTATGCAGGCAGTTTGCTGCCAGTATAGGTTCTTGATTATTCTAATATCATTCCCAAATATGTCAAGGTTGCTAGCAGCCCTAACAGATCTTTGTGGCGTACTTTATTGAATCGTACTTTGCGTAATCTATAAAACATGTCCTTCTGCATTTGTATTGCTCACACAGAAAAAAAAGCAAGAAATCTACTTTTTAAATAAATTTTTATCCATGTTAACAAATACATTTGTTTGTTAAATTCTTTTGTCAATATTGTGATGACACGTTTTCTTCGCTAATTTTTATCTGTTAAAACTATGTTTCAAATATAAATGATATATGCCCACAAATAGCACCTATGAATTTCGGTGCATACTTTGATGTACATATCGGAAGCCAATTTTATCTCAAATTTTAGTTGTCTATGTTCTAAATCAGTGCTACTCAAAGTGGTGGTCCTCGGATTCATGGCGGTACACAAACCATCAGCTACCGTTACGTGGCCAGTGTCCAGGCCATGCTAAGAAATCATTTGAAGCTTACTTTTTTATTACTTTTTATGTTTTGATAATGAATTATTTTTTGCAAAATAAATGGAAGATAAAAAAAAGTCAACATTTATTATATTCATTATATATATCGTTTCCGGTATAAATTAATATTACCACGAACGTGACAGGTACGTGACACATTGAGAAAAAAAATGCCACTCCGCCATATCAGATAGTTTGAGAAGCACTTTTCTAAGTCACGCGAAAAGTAAGTCTGCATGCCAAATTTCAAGGTAAAGCATACAACAAAAATATGATCGGCCACTTGAAATCCTGTCGTTTGTTTCTTTCTTTTAATTTTATGTCACTTCGGGACGCAGACGATCGTGGCTCCCTCCTAACCCCCCCTCTCTCTCTCTCTCTCTCTCTCTCTCTCTTAAACACAGGATGTCTTAAAAATAGAACATGCCTCGTTTCCGCTCACGGGGTTGAGGTGATCACCAGCAAACCTAATATTGCGTTGAACACAAAAAATGCACAGAGCAAGGAGAATGGGGACGTTTTTCAAGACAAAAGCGGATTCAACCAGGTACTATAAATGAATACCTAATAAAGTGACAGGTGAGTTTATGTATATATATATATTTACTTTTCCTTTAATCTGGTTTCTTCCTTACTTTCCCCTATTTTTTGTACCTCCTTCCTTTCATTGCTTTCCTTACTGACTTACTTTTTTTTCAATTTTTTCCCGCTTAATATTATTATATGGGTTATCGTCACAGTTGTTTGCAGCGGAGAAGGGCAGGAGATCAGACATTTTGAGCCAATGAAGAAAAGCGTAATAGTCGTACGTAACAAGCAGAATAATAAATTTGCTTCAAAAGATGTTTGACTTGGTTTTTGGCTGATGGGTTATATTTCATTTTTTTTTATTGGTTAGAAAAAGATTAATATTGGATTAATGAAGAACACCATAAATTTATTTAAGAACATACATACCTAATTCTATCAAAACAAGGAACTCTTCTCAAATATGAATCTTTCAACATCTTTAATATGACTTTACACACACATACGCACGAATAAGGACACCTCTACACACACAAAGAGAGAGAGAGACCTTTATTCACTCCTTGTGTATATTTTCTACTTCATTTACTAAGGCAAGACCAAATGTTAATCATATGTTATCATATCACGTTGAAACACCGGTTCTCGTAAGATCACCGAAGTTAAACCTGGTCAGTATCTAGATGTGTGACCGCTTTGGAATACCAAGTGCTGTAAGCTTGAATGTGCAGGTGGTGATATTGATAAGAGCTCGGAATTGAAAATCGGCTCTCCGATTTTCAATTCCAGTTGGGTTTGTTATATTCACTTACGCACAAATACCCTTGGAAAAGATATAAATCCACCTTTTCCCCCCAGTTATGGGTTAATTAATATTATCAGCAAAAAAAACCCCAAACTAACAATATTTTCTGGCTTTAAATAACTTTCAAATGCCGTAAAATACAAATTTAACAATCAAAATCAAAAGGTTAATTGTAAGACATTTTCTTCCTATCCCCTGCCTGAGAAAACTCCCACAAACGTCAGTATTACTCAACATGCTTTTTATTATGCTTATTCTATCACTCACACTTTGTAAAAATACCTGTATGTACTGTGAATAATGATTAGAAAAATTCTGTTGCGCTAGCCTTCAAAAAAGGAAAGAACCTATTTGTTTTGAATGTCAGTATTCAATATCCTGCTTTTTTAAATGGTTCAAATGCTGACTGCTGACGCCAGTGCAAAATAATCAACGAGGCCAGCTACATGTTCACTTATTATTATGAATTGGAGATTTGGGTTCGTGCATTTTCTTCAGCATATTTCCACAATACACAAAACAACTTTCAAATCATCTGTAAGGTTGAAACCATTTCATCAACGTCAACAACTGACATCGCTTTGATGATCAAAATATTATTTCTGTGATCTTAAATGATGAAAGCATTAGACCATAACATACCCCATCCTTCTTCCACACGATAAAAGTCAGAAAGTTATATTAAAAAAGCCAGATTGTATACTGGTGGCAGGATGTTGAGCATTCATCCAGCAATAAATAAAAATATACACGCTACTTCAAAACAAGTGAAAACTATTCAAATTATATCAGTAAATAGAAACAGAAATGTTAAAGAGAGAGAGAGAAAAGGAAATAGAGAGAGAAAGAAAGAAAGAAAAGAAAGAAAGAAAAGAAAGAAAGAATGGGGAATAAAATAAAAATATCATTGAATCATTTGAAATACTCTGCAACAAGACTAACAAAAGAACATATTAACTGACTGCGTTCCGACACACACCACGTGACATGACGGCGAAGGCGCAGAAGCAAGCAAAGTGTTGGCAGACTGTACCTAGCCAATCGGCTATGGAATATATTGGAACGCGTTCTGAAATGACAAGGTCTCATTTCCTGTCGGTAGAGTTGGTTTCGTATGCTTTTATGTTGTTTTCATTAGTCATTCACTCGTATAGTCAGCATCCACTCTAGCTTTTTACAAGCTATCTTTTCATTTCGATTCTTCTCTCTATCTTTTTATTTATTTATTATTTTTTTTGTTTTTTGTGTATTTTTCTGCTTTCTTTCATCGTTCATTATTTTGTTTTCTTTCTTTCAGCCAATGGATATTTGCACTTCGGCTTATGGTAACATGTGGTTTGGCAACCGAAGCAATAATCTACCATTAGGTTTGTTTTTTTTCTTTTGCAACACACACACACATACACACACACGCACACGCACACGCACACACACAGAGGAGAGAAAGAGATAGAGTGCGTAAAAATACATGTACCAGGATGTATCAATAAGTCTGGAACCTGATCTGAAATTCTTACTGCATAATGTTCGATCAATATGATTAACAGACATTGTATAATTAAGTTTATTAACCAAGAAGGAAATGGTCTCATAAAATTAATATTTGTTGCGTAAAATAGTACCTATTTTCGGTCATTTGACTACGAACTTATTGATACGCATATGGATATCAAAGACTCAACAGAAAATGCGCAAGGGCACACATACACGCATAAGGCAAGGGACCTTTTTTTTGTAGTTAAAAAGATTTTCTTGCAGATTATTACTACAGAGTACCGAGTTCAATCATAAATGTCATCTGATTCCGTTTTAAAGTTCTACTTCAATTTAATAATATTTTATTTGTGATCTAACTAATTCCATTGGTTAAAAAAGACCCCAAGACACTTCCTACGTACTGCGATCGACAAATTCTGTAAAGAAGTGGATCACAGAGCCTTGATATTTCTCTGAGAATGAAATTATGAATGTCCGCCAATGGATTTCACTTAACCCCGCTAGATGGTATTCTATTCTGGACTATAAAAAAGAAGGGACATAATATATATATATATATATATATATATATATATATATATATATATATATATATCTTATAATTTGTTTTATTCGCTACCAAATCCAAACGCAAAATCTTAGTCTAGTAGGAATGATAAAACATATTAGGTACAACATTACAAAACAAGACAACCACTATGTAAAATTTTAAAAGCTAAAACACATTTATTTACACAATTACGAATAAAGGTACAAATAAAAAGTTTGTATAAAAATTTCCTAAAATTTTTATGCTTTCTCTCACTCTCTTTCTTTCTCTCTCTCTCTCTCTCTCTCACACATACACACATACACACACACACTCTCACTCTCTCTCGCTATTAATCTCTTCATAATTTCATTCTCTTTAAAGTCTACAGAATGCCTTGATCGCAAGGTCATCCACGGTAAATTCGCGCCCGGGCTCTTACAACATTTCACCATTCCTGGCAGAATTTCTATTATCACAGTGTGGGATATCAAACTAACAAAAGTTATGGAACGAAGTAGAAAAAGAATCTAAATGAAATCGGCTAGATTAAAAAAAAATTAATTAAAAATTCCCAGAATCGCTTGTTTGTGCGCATGTATAGTGGCACCAACATAACAAATTTAGTCTGAAGTCCTAAAGAACGAAACGCGTCACAAGAAAACTTTTTCCACTTTGTCATACATTTTTCCCAATATATATATATATATATATATATATATATAGGCAGCAAATTTTCTTTTAAACATCTTTCGCAAGCGCTTTCGACCATTTCTTTGGCCATGTATTTTATTTTTGTGTTTCTTTGAATACTAGTAGGGGCATTTATTTTGAGACTTCGCGTGTTGAGCACGGCTGGAATTCGAGTGAGCTCCTTATAGATAAAAAAACAAAACACTTTCAACACTCTAATTATATAAATACATCTTAAACAGTCAAAGCATAAATATAATGCTGCGGTGCGTCCTGGCCCCTGCGCCACATGACAACGTCGCCCAGTCCTCGGTCACCTGTGTGTCCTTGATTAAATCCTGCGGTCAACCGTAAAGTTAGTCACTTCTATCCAAGCCTCTCTCTCTGTCCCACGTTCTCTTTGTTTTGATCACAAGGCAAGTGAGGATCGAATCGCCGCCAGGTATCACTAGATTGGTGTCGTTCAAGCGGGGCAATGTTATAAAACAAAAACAAAAAAAGAAAGTTTTATAAATCACCAAAGTTTATATAACTGAGGTTTATACAAGAATACTTTTTCGTATAAGAATCTACAAGCATGCAGGCTAACGACCATTCCCTCGTGGTCTAATTTCGTGATACTTTGTTCTTCGTTTCGAAATCGGAATGAGGTTTCAAACTTTAAGTCAGATATTTCTTTAAGCAGCAGAATACTGACGAAGCACTCGTCTCCCTCCCGCCCCACTCTCTCTGTCTCTCTCTTTCCCTCTGTCTCTCTCTGTCATTATATCGCGACTTTCAATTCTTCCACTTTCATCAGGCCACTCACTCAATTTATCTAATAGTCTGAAACAAGGCATGAGTCAGGAGTTCTTCATGACAGCAAATCACATGGCGAAATGGAGACGAGTCTCTGCCTCAATTGCTGCTCTCTCTGTCTTCCTTCTCTCGCTGTTTGGATCTCTGTGTGGTTATTTATGGAGTCCACCCTCCAAAAACCGGGGTGGGGTTGACTTGTGATGCCTTCGAATCTCCTGTCACACAATCAAATCTCTCCACGGGGGATGCTGGGTGGCTCTTATATGTCCAAATATGGGAAGCTCGGCCTGTGGGGGAGTGGCGGTAGCAACACGTCGATCCGCCATATTGTTTTCTTCCTTCTCTTGCTCGCACCTCGCAAGAGTACCTTTCAGTGGTTGTATTCAATTTCCTCCCATATCAGCTCTTCACGCTGCCGCCATCTAGGGGATAGGTGTTCCACCCAACGCAAAACAGATGTTATTTTTAATGTCAAAATAAAATTTTAATGTCACCATAAAATTATTATCTGCATTTCTTATTCCTAATTATCACGTTTGGTCCGTAACTTTTCATCGTTTTGCCACTTGACCGAAATTTTCCAGTCTAAGAAAATCCTCCACCTCTATCAACAAGTGACATAGAATCATTTCTTTACCCTTTTCCTCACCCACCTGTAGCCATAAAATTGTTATCTGTAACTAACTTGGTGGTCTCTGTCCAAAATCGCACTTCCCTACCCTCGTCTACTGGGCTTCACTTTAACCAGATGCCCAAGTGGATTTCAGCGCTATCTTCTAGCGAGGTCCTTATTCGCTATGTAAGAAACAACATAAAAGTATATTTTCTCTTGTTTTTGGCATGTTCTCCTACCTTTGTGTGTTCATTTTCGATTTAATTTAAGCATTTTTTCTTTCTTCAAATTTTCAACATTCTTACAGTGTCATATGACCCCCCCCCCTTGAAGATGTCTAAATAAGTGGCCGAAAGGGCTTGGGACAATAGACAATGTGGGCAATTGTTGTACTCCCTTACTCAAACCAAACGGGAAAATGTAAGAACGCTGAAAAAACTAAATAAAAAATTAAATTTTACTTATCTGTCTTATTTAACGATATATATATATATATATATATATATATATATATATATATATATATCCACGTATTGAATTGAATTCTTTTGAAAATGTTGAATTCATTTACTTTGAAAACAACTACCACTGCTACACATGACCGAAAATGTTTATGTAAACGTATACTTGTTTACAAAGGCACGCGTAATTACACACACGTGCGTCTGTTTATAAATACACAGGCAAATATTAACATAAACATGTTTGTACTTATATTTAAAATCGCGAACATAAATGCAGTTGTGACTATAAAATACTAGCAGTAGAGCCCGGCGTTGCCCG